GAAAACCGCATGTCGATCGATGTAGCCATTAAAAAGCCTTTTGAATAGCAAAATTCGGCCACCACAAATAGATAATAGATATGACTTATTCGCTTTGCAAGCGCCGTAAAACTCTTACTAAAACTAAAACTAATTATGTTTTCTTCTTTCTTGCTTTCTGGGCGTTGTACGTCCACTGCAGGATGCAGCCCTCCTACACTGACCTCCACTCTGATATACCTGCTGCTGTTTTCCGTGCACAGATCGCACCCATCCTCTCTTTGATGTCGTCCAGCCATCTTCTTTCTGGTCTACGTCTTGATCGTTTTCCTGTCCGTGGTGTTCATTCCGCACATTATAATGTTGTCCACCTCTTGTCCTTCACTCTGCCTATGTGACCAACTCATTTCTGTTCCTCCTATGTTTTCTCTCGTATTTTTGTGTGATTTATTTGGTCGTGTATTTTTGTTCCCAGCATATTTCTTTTCTTCTTTATGATGTTTCAGGTCATTGGCCAGGTTTGGCATCCATAGTGTATAGCTGGGATGCACTGATTGAAGACTTGTCTTTCCAGTGATATTGGTAGATTTTGATCTTTAAAATTTTCTCTGCATTTTCCAAAGAACCCCTAAGCAGCATATATTTTTCTGTTCCCCTCTTTTTCTTTATTCTCTCCTTCATAATAATATTCTTATACTTTATTGTTTGTCCTAAATATGTATATTCTGTCACTTTTGTAAAGATCTTGTTTTCTATAACAATAGTTTTGTCTCTGGTACAGTTCGTTGTGTATTTGGTCTTATCTTTGCATTTTTTTTGTTTTGCTTTCGTTATGTATGATTAGCCTATTTTCAGTGCAAAGTGCTACATCATCGGCGAATCTCAGATCTTTCAGGTTGTTTTCCATCTATTAAAATCTATATACTGAGCGATGCCTTTTCGAATAATATTTTGATGCTGTGAATAGTTTGGGTGATGTGGGATCTCCTTGCCTCACTCCCTTTTCTGTGTTGTCTTTTTCTTCTTCTCTCTGCTGGGGTCTAGTAGCTACTGAATTTCTACTTTTTTGTTGGATGGGAAAGGCTGCCTAAACTGTTTTATCGTTCCATATAACTGGACATTTGGTAACGGTATGCAAAGAGTATCACATGCTTTGGGGGAAGTGAGAGAGTTATAAAAGCTAAATTAGAAAAACAAACCGTCGACATAAGTGTAATATGAGTATATAAAAAGTTACGTCAACGAAAGATGACAGTCATGATGTAGAATCCTACAGATGTGGATCAATTCGAGTCTTTTCGGTTAGAAAAAATATTCCTTCC